AGAGGACTTCTGCATAAAACAGAACCCCTGAGGTGAAGCAGCATCTTTAATATTTTAACTATGGGGACAACAACAACAAAAAAATAACCCTACACACAGTGAGACAGAGGACATACCTGATTTTCTCAACCTGGGTAACAGATGGGATGAGAGATAAATAAATAATTACTCTTTAAGAATTACTAACAGCACTCATGGGATTTACACCTTTAATTCATGTTACTCATATGGCCCAAATTTCAAATTTTGTTGAACAAGTGTTGCTTGGTTGACCTCCCAATATGTGGCAGAAGCAAATTTAAAGCTTATTTGGAACAACGACCTTTCAAAAAATTCACAAAGATAAAAGCTTAAGCAGCATGACCTCTTAAGTGGAAAATTCACCAACCACATGGGGAAAACATCACCATGATAACAAGCCAGCAACAAGCAATTGTAAAATTATATTCACATATTTTGGAGCTGCTAGATATAATGTATATGTATAAAGAGATGAATATTAACAAGTATTCTAAGGAAAAAAGACTATGAGAATTAACCAGGCAGATCTTAAAAAGAACAAAAAGAACCTCAAAATATGAAACGTGATAATTGAAGTGAATAAGGCGGTGAATAGATTAAATAGCAGATTAGTCATGGCTTTCGATAGGGTACATGAAATATGAACTGAACAAGTCACACAGGATCCACCCAGGGAGAAGGTTATGGGAAGTCTGGAGAAGTGATTCACTATGAAGGTAAAATGAAAGATCTGATATGTGCTTCATTGGGATTGTGAAAGGAGGGACTAGAAAAAGATGAAAAGGCAGTTTTCAGAGATGATAGCTAAGAATTCTGAGAAATCAGACATTAAACTACAGGTTTTAAAAAGAATCTTTTTTCCTTTTTTTTTTTTGTCAGCTAGCCAGTACAGAGATTGAACCCTGAACCTTGGTTTCCTTAGCACCATGCTGTAACCAACTGAGCTAATTGGCCAACTCCAAGAATTTATTTTTTAAATCCATACATACAATATCGTAAAAGTCAAGGAGAGGATCTGAGAAGCATCCAGAGAGAAATAAATTTCCCAGGTGGCTGATTTCTTACCAGAAGCAATAGAAGGTAGAAGACAGTAGAATATCATTTTTGAAGAGCTATTAGCCTAAGATTCTATACCCAGTGAAATTATTTTTCAAGAACAGTAAAATAAAGTGATTATCTGAAGCT